CGTAATAGGGTTGCACGCTGTAGCAAGATGTGTAGATAGATCGATTGGGTTACCATATTCTTAATTTTGCGGTTTTCAGAGAGCTTATTCTCGACCGTGCCAAGCGGTGCCGAAACCGTGAGCATTTCCGTGAGTGCAACCCGGTGACCCTAATCCAGTTCCCCCAGTCTTTCTCAAATACAGCAACTAGTGGTATCTGTTCATCGATTTCTATCCCTGACAAAATTCAGGTGGGGGAGTATTGTGGCGTAACTACCACTACGATTATTAAACATCAATTCACTAGTATATTAGACATGCTAACTTGATTCAATCTAGAGGTACCTTTTGATAGATGAAAGTTGGCATTGTCTAATGGTCTTTCCCCATACAGCTCTAGATAGTATTTTCAGCTTTTAATTTGGCGACATTTTTCCACCAAGATGAAAATTATCAAAATCTCTGCCATATTCTCAGTTTTTGCGAATTTTTATGAGCCCAGATAATGCAGCATTGGAGTTAGTTTTTAAATATTAAAAAATTAAACCGCAAACGCTTTTCATTTTCACAAAACAGTGGCTTTTCTCCATATTGACGTTGTGTGCCATTTTCTAAATGAGCGTAGATAGCACTGACTTTTGGATAGGCTAATATCATGCAACAGTTACTCATGACGTAACAGTCATGAGTAACTGTTGCAAACTCACAGCTGTTATAAAAGCAGCATATTATTTGCCAAAAAAGCATAACTTCATATTATGATGGAGGCTACGAAGCACAGCCGCTACTACGAGACAAAACTCGGAAAAAACTGATTATTTACTTAATGACTTCTATTTGAGATAACATGTAAATTTACGGGAAATAAAACAAAATAAAATTGATTACTTTAATAATTAGGTTGCTTAATCGCCTTTTTGCACCTCAACACCAATCCTCGTAATTACTTCTCATCCCCCGCTGTTTCTATTATTATAATTTTTAAGCCTATATTTTTCAAAAAAAAACACAGAATATTTTGTTTCCATATAAAATTATTGCAGCTTTTTGTAACAACATTTTTCTAACTCGTTAATCTTAACGAAATATACAATTATCTGGCTTTGCAAAAAAATGATAAAAGAGAAATTAACCTAAAGATTATGCGACTCAATAAGAAGTAAGTGAGAAATTGTTTTACGAGACTTAAACAAATCAAGTAGGGAACTGTTATCATCAGTATCAATTACCTTTGATCGTCTTCAATTTCAATTTCAATTTTAAGATTTACACTTGGCAACTTGTAATCTCTTTCTTTTTCGTTCTTTTCTTTCTGTTACTTTTGATTAACATCTACTTAAGCGCTAGTTTGTAAATTATAGCAATAAAGATCTTGCAAGGGAAAAATAAAGTTTCCACAGTGATGAATAAATAGTCAATGTTTCAAGCAGTAAAAAAAAAAAAAAAGAAAAAAAGAAAAAAAACTGGGTAAAATCGCGAACGATCGCAAATTTTAACTCTGTTGTAATGACATTCTTGAGCAGGTGTGTTTTTTTAAAAGATTTCCCCCACCTACATCATCAGTTATTCAGGTAGGAAACAACTTTTTAGCGAAACCTGCAAGACAGCGATTTGGTTCAGCGGGCTAGAGATCGACTAAGTACGGTAGTTTTTTCTTTACAAGCTTAACAATTTTCTAATTTTCGAACTAATTACCGAATATTCTGTTTTTTTTTCATTCCGCCGTGCTCTCTGTTTTTCATTTCATCGCAATTTCAAATTTTTGATTCTTATTTGCCCAGCCTAAAAAAAAAAAAAAAAAAAAAAAAAAAAAAAAAAAAAAAAAAAAAAAAAAAAAAAAAAAAA